TCCCCATCATTGAGAAAGCACGTCAGATGTCATTCCATCGTTTCCCATTTTAGTAACCAAGGATAAATTTACCTACTTAGGAGTCTCAGTAACAGCCACATATAAAAATCAGTTTGACAGCAATTTCAAACCTGCACTGGAGAAGGCTAAACAAGACATGGAATGGTGAAAATTAATGCCATAAAAATGTCTGTGATGCCAAAATTTCTATTCCTATTTCAAACTATTCCAATCTTTATTCCTAAAGCTTTTTTTAAAGAGCTAAATAAATTTACTTCCACTTTCATCTGGAACAACATCCTTCCTCAGATTAGGAAGGAATTCTTAGAAAGACAGAAGGAGGAGGGGGGATTAGCCTTGCCAAATTATATGTACTATTACTGGGCAGCTAATATTCATAAGCTGGGGTTTTCCCAATAGTTCCAATATGGGCTAAGATGGACCAGGACTTCTGTAACCCAGTATCACTGCTTTCTTTCATCTGTGCCCCATTACCTATTAGCAGACGTCTTTTTACAAATAATCCAGTGGTAAGTGGATTGCTGAAGATCTGGTCTCAGTTTAGGGTGCATTTCAATCATAGACAGGCCCTCCCCTCTGCTCCTATCATGGCAAATGCCCTGTTTCCTCCATCGCTTATTCACTCTGCATTTCAAATTTGGGCCAGGAGAGGTGTGGGATGTGTAAAAGACCTGTTTAAAAACAACATATTTGTTTCATTTGAACAGCTTAAATCAGACCTCTGTGTCCCACAGTCTGATTTCTTCAGATATCTTCAGGTGTGCAGTTTCATCAAAAAATATTTTTCACCATCTTTGACAACTCGAGAGAAACTGGGTAGATGAATGCTTAAACATAAACCCTTTAGGCAAAGGGGTGGTATCTGTACTATTAGTTGGATAATTATCCAAAGAGTTGTTTCCCCCACTTTGACTGGTATAAAGGTGCAGTGGGAAGAAGAATTGGGAGAGGAGATTCCAGAGGAAGCTTGGCAATTGGCTGTGAAGTTAGTGCATTCATCATCAATATGCATAAGACATGGACTACTACAGTTTAAATTGCTCCATAGATTATTAGTTTCCCACATTTTCACATATTTGGAACACACATTCCGAACCTAATGGCCTTACGGCTTTGTTTGGGGTAGTTCCAGAAGATATCCAAGCAATTTCAGAACAGTCAGAAGTCATAGCCTTTTCCACGTTACTGGCTAGGCGTATGATCCTCCGTAGGTGGAAGAGGGCCGAGCCACCATCCCATAAAAACTGGATCAAAGAGGTTATGGCACATTTTAAACTTGAAGCATATTACCGGAGGTTCAACCAGGAGGTTTTATAAATGCTGGCAACCATATTTGACACATTTTGAGACTGAGCATTCTCAGGCATTAAACATATCATAAAGATCCTTTAAGGTTTGTTTTTTTTATTTGTTTGTTTCTTTTTTTTCCCCCTTCTCATTTTCCCCTCTTTTGTTTTTCTCCCCTTTCTTTCTTGTTCCTTGATTGCTGTTGGGGTGTTTAGGGGCCAGGAGAATTTGTCTGGAAGTTGTCTGGAAGTGTTTGTGCATAAATATTGAAAAATCAATAAAAACATTTGAATATAGAAAATGAACTGGGAATGAAAACAGCCTGATGTTCTTCAGAGATGCTAGCTAACAAATACTGCTATCAGTAGCTTCAGCTACTGAAGCTGTAAAAGTATTTATGCTTGCATAAAATAATTATACAAGTAAAAGTACTTTCCCCAAACAATTTGAGTAGATATACAAAAGAAGCAGGATGAAAATCTACTTAAGTACTCAGTACTGCAGTGGAATTTCTACTGCATCCAGCATCCGCATAGGAACTGAATATTGTGTGGCTTTGTTCTTTTCTTTTTGGGATTTTTTTTTGGTCGAAAATACCAACCTCCCAAGTCAGAGATGTAACCAATCACAAAGCAGTACAAATATTGCCACCATCAAAACATACTGAAATTAAACACAAAAAATGGAAGTAGTATATAAAGATGAATGGCTAAAACGTAACAGATTCTTTACTCACTTTAGTTTAAATAAAACTAATAAAAATGATTTGAAAAATACTTAGGAGAGTAAATATCCATCAATATTTTACTTAAGTACATGTACTTGGGTAAATGTAACTAGTTACTACACACCTCTGAGTAGGTTTATAAAGATATGTTCATGACAGGCATTTATATACCACTTTTAGATTTTGGCACCACCCCTGTGTGTGTGTGTGTGTGTGTGTGTGTGTAAATATATATATATATATATATATATATATATATATATATATATATATATGGACAGATCTGGTGTTATTATTCCCATTCACACCTAACTTAGCCTAGTACAGTCACTGGCTGTAACTAAGTCACTGTACTAGTTAATCCTGTGTGACTGATCTCCCATATCATGCACAACTCAGTGTGTCAATGATTAGTCTCATGATAAGTCCACTTAATTCAACGATTTGTTAATTTTAAAATAAATTTATATGCTTTTTAATATTAACTGTTTTAATGAAAACTCTAAAATAAAACTCACATGTTAAATTTGATAGAGTAACCCAACATCTTTTGAGAATTACTTCATCTGTCATCTCTTATAATAAACGTTACAGCAAACACGTGCGTTCATTAGCTTCTGCCGCAGTTTAACGGCAATTTGCATGCTAATATCGCACACCAGCTATAGATGGGGATCAGAGGAACTTTCTCTTTCGAGTTTTTAGAGTTAGCTGCTCTGTGCTAACTTTCAGTCATTTTCGCTCATTTTTTTTTAACTGGGAGTCACTTTGAGACAAGCTGAAGTTCCATAGCACATTGGCATTCCTTTTAATTCTGTTCACGTAAAGTAAATTAAGAGGAATCTGTGCAGTAAAGCTAGCATTAGCAAGCAAGCAAAGTTTATTTATATAGCTCTTTTTACAACAGGTGTTGTCACAAAGCAGCATTACAGAAGAAAAATCCGGGTCCAAGCCCCCATGAGCAAGCCAGTGGCGACAGTGGTAAGGAAAAATTCCCTAAGAGCAGGAGGAAGAAACCTTGAGAGGAACCAAGACTCAGAAGGGGAACCCATCCTCCACTGGTCGACACCAGATAGCAAACATTGTTAGTATAATTTATTATAGTACAAAGCGGGGAAAACAGGTGGAGCAATGGTTAATTTGATTAGTTTTAGATTATGCTTCTGAAACGTGAACCCCAGTTTCCCGAAGTATTTTTCAAGCTGTTTAGATATTTTTAAGCTCTCTAATTCTCTCTCAGTTCTTTCACCAAGACAGCAACGATCGCCTTTTATACATCAGCATCAGGTTACTTGTCCATCATTGAAGGTATCCGAATACATCACCCTGTCATCTAGGCCTAATACATTCAGCTGTTTCTGCAACAGTACAAGCTAGCAGAGTGCTCAGAGCCAGTTTAGGAGCCATTTTGGAAGCACTGACCTCCCCTCAAGGGTCATTTTAAAATATGGCTATACAGAACTAGGGTTACTATGGCATGTATTAACAGTAATACTGGCCAGATGAGTCGATTTTAAGTGGTCCTCTTGTCTCTATTCACGGAGGAGAGAAGACAATAATCAGGACCTGACTCCACGTCAGCACTCATGGTCCAGAGTGCCTGGGTGGAGATTACATGTAATTACCTCATGATGATTGTTACAGGTCACCATCCTGCTGTTGCTGCTACACATCAGTGACCATATTTGTTTTGTCACACCAAAGCTGTCTTTATTACGGAGAATAATCCAGCTAAATAAATCACATTACCTTGCCGCCGTGCAGCATGCTGCTCTAGAGCGTGGATATGGAAGGCTGGCTAATAAGTTTCAATTAGAGGATGGATATGTGTGTGTATGGGGTGGTTTGGTTGCTCATGCTGTTAGGGGGATCTTCTTTCTATTAGAGATTCACTGGGGACTGAGAGTGAGGAGTGCTTTATGGTTTGCGGCCAAGAGCCTGTTCACTGACAGCAAGTTTCAATTAACATTAATTATAAAAAATACTCTGACCTGACTGATGTGGCTAGATGAATAGAAGTATGACATGAGTATTAAAGTTTTGACTGATCTGTTTCAAACTTGTCACCATCATCCATTTCATGATAGAGTATAACAGGTATCCGAATACATCACCCTGTCAACTAGGCCTAATACATTCAGCTGTTTCTGCAACAGTACAAGCTAGCAGAGTGCTCAGAGCCAGTTTAGGAGCCATTTTGGAAGCACTGACCTCCCTTCAAGGGTCATTTTAAAATATGGCTATACAGAACTAGGGTTACTATGGCATGTATTAACAGTAATACTGGCCAGATGAGTCGATTTTAAGTGGTCCTCTTGTCTCTATTCATGGAGGAGAGAAGACAATAATCAGGACCTGACTCCACGTCAGCACTCATGGTCCAGAGTGCCTGGGTGGAGATTACATGTAATTACCTCATGATGATTGTTACAGGTCACCATCCTGCTGTTGCTGCTACACATCAGTGACCATATTTGTTTTGTCACACCAAAGCTGTCTTTATTACGGAGAATAATCCAGCTAAATAAATCACATTACCTTGCCGCCGTGCAGCATGCAGCTCTAGAGCATGGATATGGAAGGCTGGCTAATAAGTTTCAATTAGAGGATGGATATGTGTGTGTATGGGGTGGTTTGGTTGCTCATGCTGTTAGGGGGATCTTCTTTCTATTAGAGATTCACTGGGGACTGAGAGTGAGGAGTGCTTTATGGTTTGCGGCCAAGAGCCTGTTCACTGACAGCAAGTTTCAATTAACATTAATTATAAAAAAATACTCTGACCTGACTGACGTGGCTAGATGAATAGAAGTATGACATGAGTATTAAAGTTTTGACTGATCTGTTTCAAACTTGTCACCATCATCCATTTCTTGATAGAGTATAACAGTTTAAAACTGTCAAACCTTTTGTGTTGAGATGTTGAGATCTACAAATCTCTCAGACTGATTGCTCTTCTTTTCCACAGTTATTTCCAGAGACAGGTCCACGGCAGGGGGGATCCAGGCTCACCATCACTGGAGAGAACCTGGGGCTGCAGTTTAGAGACATCCAGAGTGGAGTCAAGCTGGGGAAAGTGCCATGCATTCCTATTGAAGAAGAGTATATCAGTGCAGAGAGGTAGGCTTCAAATTAAAGGATACATGAATTTCCACTTACCCCAAATGCAGTTGATCAGCCAGGACATGTTTGGTGTCAAAATTTTGCTTCTTTAGTTTTGAACTGAAGCTAGGAGCCTAGTGTTTCTAACAAACACTACAAGTACATAGTCTCTCAAACCGTTTCTACAAATACATGCCCAACACTACTCTTAACCCGCTCAAACTGCATCCAGGTCTTAACTAAGTTGCACAGACAAGTCAATGTCGTTTAGAGCAGAGTATGAATCACTATGAACTATAAAAACGAAAAGTAAAAACTTGTCCATGTAGCCAAAAGAAGGGACAGCCATTTAGGATATCACTTCTTTCTTTAGCAAAATTTGGTATCATTCTGCACAAGACGACCAAAGTTAGTGATAAGGATATTCACGCCTCAGACACACTGATTGTAGGTAGAGAATTACCTTAGTAGCCCAGCTGATAGTGTGAACAAGACACTGCATTTAATCATGTGCCAGAAAGAAACTTACAACTGAAAAGCTGCAAATATACAAAAAGATCACCAAAAAGTAAGTTTAGTGTAACTAACTATCAAACTTACACAACCAAAGGCATGATATCCAACAAACATTCGGACTAAAGGCAAAGTCAATCATTCCAGGCTTTCCTTATAAAAAACAAAATTAATCAGATACAAACCAAACAATTTAGTGCAAAGCATTGTCAACTGTTGAAATAAAACTGCTCCACTTTAAACATTTCAGCAATATACAAACATGACATTCAGAGTCCTTTGTTAAACATAAGCAACACTTTAGCCTCAAATCCTCATCACATTTGGTGTGAGAATTAGGCCTGAATAATCTCTTCACTGCTGCAGAACTGTTGTGGCTCCACAGCAGAACTAGATTTTTAGGTAAAATAACATAATCCTCCTTTGCTGGAAAATCGTTATAACACACAGTTCTAACACAGTTTTCACAATAAATGGTCTTAAACGCTGGAGTTAACGCATAACTGCTAATTCACCAACCTTTAACGCTGAAGACTGACGCGCAGACTGCTGGACGCACAGCAACGCAGAAAACGAAATGACAAAGAGAAAGATTTAAGACGAACGTCGATAATTTGGAGATGGATGGACATATTTGCATTTAGAATCACTCAGCTGATTTCCTTGTACATTTAATCTGCAACAACTCGCGAAGCTGAAGTGGCTTCTCATTCTCCTGCTTCTCGTTCGAATTCTCCCGTTCCACCTTAAATGGTGCAGCAGTACAATCTGGCACCTCAGGCTACATTTAAGGTGGAACAAGAAAATTCGAACGAGAAGCAGGAGAATGAGAAGCGACTTCAGCCTCGTAAAAAGTCGAACATTGAGAGACATTTTACATGAAACTCGCGGAGAAGTTTCCTGAGATGCGAGAAAAGTGGCTACAGCTGAGCTAAAGCTTAAAGCAGAGCAAAGTAAGTCTGAGTTTTCGTTTATTAAATTTTTAGCCTGAAATAGCACATCAGCACATACTGAGACATACTTACAGCCAAGATGGTAAAACGGATATAAAATGTTGTGGCTCCCCAGGTGATCTCATTTTTGTTGCAATGACACAATGGCTCTTCTTAACATTTGGGTTGCGACCCCTGAGTTAAGCCTACTAATAAGGGGTGAACAGCGCGTGGGGCGAGCGCGTGCCCATTTAGTCGAATTGTCCGCCGCTCAGTTGTTACTGCACAATTGTTCTATGGTTCAAATTTTGCGCGGACTGCCTGAAGCCTGTAGCAAAATTGTAGTGAAAATTATCGCTATAGCTACACAAAAATTTGTAGGTGCTACAGCTGTTAGCTACATTTCATAAAACGGTAGCAGCTACAGCTATTAGCTACAAAAATTTGTAGTTAACTACAAAAAGTAGTACTTAGCTACCCCCCATCCCTGAATCAGTACAATGTCTGAATACGAATTTGAGGCTTTTGCACAAATGAGCCTCAGCTATACATGTTTGAACCTGAATATATACATAAAGAAAGTCAGTTAGATGCTGCAACCACTCCCTGGACCCACCTAATAGTGTGAAGCTGAAGCTTGCTTCTTATTCGAATTTTCTGCTCTGCCATGCAACTGCTACACCATTTGAGGTGGAACAGAAAATTTGAATAAGAAGCTTCTGAATAGGAAGCCAACTTCAGCCTTGTCCTCTTAGCTATATATAGCATAACAGTAAGTGTGCACAATGAAGGTGGAGAAAAAGTAAAGAGCACTTATCCCGGATTCTCTTCTTTGAGGTGTCATTCGTAAAAATTTACTTGGTATACCATTAGATTTTAGAACAGGGGTGTCCAGTCTCATCCGCAAAGGGCCGGTGTGGCTGCAGGTTTTCATTCTAAAAAAGCTAGAAAACACGTAATTCTGCTTGTTTAAGTTATAATTAGTTGTTATAATTAGTTGTTGTCATTCTTCAACAACTGATAATGTGTTGAAATGAAACCTGCAGCCACACCAGCCCTTTGCAAATAAGATTGAACACCCATGTTTTAGAATATTCTGCTGGTAATCTTCAGGTAAAAAATACCATCACATCACACTTGATTTTGCATGGTAACTTTATTGAACATCTCTTCCCAGTTAATTGTTCATTGCCAAAAGCCTCAGTTTGCATGTGCATCCACAGAACGTGCTTTTGCTGTGTTACTTCTGATACTTAATAATGCCAAAAATCAGATTTGTATTTTGATTTTGTTACAAACTACCATTTTCGGAAAGGAGAAATATGAATAGAAATGTATTTAACACTTCAGTCGTATTTTATTGTTATTCTGATGAAAAAAATTAAGTAATAAGGCCTTAGCGATTTGAATTCCTTTATGAAAGTGTGTGTACGCTTGCTTAAAGACTATCATAGCTCGTTCCATAGGCTACATTGTGCTTCTTTTATAAAGTGATAGAAAACACAGTAGCACACATAAAGCTCTAATTCCACATGCTGATACATTGCAAATGTACACCACACTACTCTGGCAGCATATTTTAATGAGTTAAATTCCAATGTCTCAAATATGTATTTCTTGCAAGATCATGTAAGATCATGTATTTTTATTTCCAGTGCCACTAGTTTTTCAAATGTTAACTGATTCTATACATGTAGACTATAACACAACCATGCAACAGTATTCTTTATAAATCAATATCTTATCTCTATGTAGTCACACTTTGATGCCACTGGTAACTCCAAAGCAGAGCAGAAAGAGTTTGATCTTTCTTTGTTTCACAGAATTGTGTGCCAGCTGAACGATGCTACTGGGTACCGTGTGCAGGAGGCCCAAGTAGAGGTGTGTGTTAGGGACTGCCTGGCAGACTACAGGGCACTGTCACCTCGAGCATTTACCTTTGTGGTAAGCAGGACATAATGTAGCATTGGCACCCAAAAAAATTGCTTTCTATGATAACACCTGCACATACTAAATGGTATAAAACAAAGTTTTTAAAATACTTTGCAGCATACATGAAAACAGTCTGAAATATGCTATATGTGATATAACCATCTTACATGGTTAAAAGTTCATTTATTCACTGTGTGAGTTGTATACCAGGGTATTGCTGTTTGAGCCAAATTAATACATTTTTAACCTTTTTTTTTTAAACCATTGTTGTATTTGATGTTTTACCTTCCAAACTGTATTGTTCTTTTGTGTTAATATATGGTTTTTCAAAATATGATGCCTACAGCATGTTCCAAAAAGGTGGAACAGGAGTATGTTTACCACTGTTACATCATCCTTTCTTTTAACAGCATGTACCCATTGATCCAGTTTTGGATCAGTACAGGCCAGTTGTATGCAGAGTTCTTGATATTTTTGTCTGGTGCACCTTCACTCCAATCTCGGTTGCTCCTTCAGATTGTTGGCCTCTCTGTGGCTTTCCTCACAAGACCCCTTTTTGCACTGATGCTGTGTCCTAAGGGACAACCTTGTCTTGAAAGTGCCCAGGTGGAATGATGCAACTTCATATAGGTCACGTTAAAAAGATATTGTGAACAGCCAAACAAAAAAAGTTGGTGAGAAAATCAGACTTGGGCCCTATTACCTGCTGTGTGAATGTAACCATAAAAACCAATTGTATCCTTTTAGGGGAACATCTTTCATCTGTGTAAACCTGGAGCTTTCACAGCATAGGGGTTGAATTAAAAGCATTTTTCAGTTAATAATTTTTGTCACAGGATGTTTTACATAAAACAAATATCACTTGAAATTACTTTATATTGAAGGTCCATCTTTCAAGGTAAGGTAAAACCTTAAATATCTTATACTTTTGTTAAAAACAGGTCAAAGTGGATTTAAAAAAACACTGCTCTATGTCTCTATTTGCATGTAAAGTTTTTTTGATTATCTCCTGACCCTACACATGTAAAAGCAGAGCTCTGTGGTTGGCCATTTTGCATATGTCAGGCAAATAGTCCCTTCTGGTCAAAGTTTCTTGGCCACACGGAGTGACAAAAGCCACCAGATTCTTTAACGATCGTCATATGTTATTTTGTGAGAGAACTATAGGGCTGATCCTAGCCATGTGGATTTTACTTCTTTGTTAGCCTGAGATGTTTGACGGTCTCGCAACTGAGACAGGATAAATGGTGCAGTGTTTCGAGCTTAATTAGCAGTGTCCCCAGTATTCCACTTGCCCTCTGTAGTGAGTATTTGTGCTGCATACAAAACATGTGTCACAGTAAGAAATTTATAAAGTGTAAAAATGCCATGACTGGTTTCTTTCAGACAACAGCTGAGTATGCATTTGTGGTTAAACAAATTATCCTTTGGTGATTCAAACAATCACAGTTGTATTGATCACACATCTGTCATGGCTCAGATTATGTGTTCAATAACCTGTTTTACAAGTTGACAGGGAGAAAACAATGTAAATGAATTTACATCCTATAGAACACTTTAACATGAATGTAATCTTTATGTATCTTTATCTTCAACTTAGACAACTAGTAAAATAATTAAAATATTAAAAAAGGACTGCAAGTTTTGAAAAGTATCAGAATAATACACAGTCAAGTATAGCTGAAGAAATTCAGCCAATTACAGATCTGCTATCTGTAATCTCATACCAGATAGCACAAAATAAAACCAGGTTCTATGGTTCTGTTGCATTTCTTCTCTACATTTTAAACTGAATTGTTTCACATTTCCTGTGTTAAACAGATCTAAGTTTACATTTAGGCAGTAGTTTACTTTTGCATTTAAGCTTTTTGAAGTACAGCTGTGCACAAAAGTGTACATTGCCTAAAAACACAAACCCAGCAGGTGTCGCTGTTCACAAGGTAAAAGCTTTTTGAAACAGTTTTTCCATAAAGGTTGGAGATGTAATGATCATTTTGCTTTACATCTTAGTTTACTTCAGACATGTCAGTATTTGTAAAACTCACTGGACTTTTGTAAACTTTATAGTTGTTGACATGTCTGCACATTTGGCATTGCTCACTGGTGACAGTGATTTAATACTGATAACAGAGACTTGACTCAACACAGTGTGACTTGCCTACAACACAAATCAAGGCCACCTTCCTACTAAAGTTTTAATTCTTCCTTGTCTTTGTGCCTGTTTTCCGCTCCAGACCCCATTCTTTGCTCGTGTGCAGCCATCTCAGGGGCCTCTCTCTGGGGGCACCAGAATCACCATCGAAGGCAACCACCTCAATGCTGGCAGCTCAGTGGCTGTTAACATTGGTCGCCACCCCTGTCACTTTAAAAAGTGAGTGCTTGTCTGCAACTGTCTATTTTGCCTGCTCACAGTTCCTATCAGTTGGCTTATTTTTATTCTTTCTTTCAGGTAGCCTTCTGCCTGATTTGGACCAGCAGTCGTCAGTGTGCATCGCTTTCCCCGGCCTTTTTGTTCCTCCTTATAAGTAGAGATTTTTTTCTTTAGTTTTGCTATGCTTTTCAAATGTATTTATGTAACTATATTTTTAATTGTCTAAGAGTTATACAGTGAATTACATTCACATTTGTTTTACATGCTGTGTTGACAGCTTTGGGACTGCACTTTCAACTTTTACCATTTTGATGACAAACCTGGCAAAAATTTTGAGTTTTGGTTTTCTTTCCACAAAACAAGACTATATGTCCAAATACCTTTTTCATTACAAACACAAGCACAGTTTTGATTCAAAGTTTGCTTGTTTCAATGAGATTAAAATCATAAATATTGGATTGAACCGTGCTTTTGTTATTGCTGGCAATAGCTTTGACTTTGAAAGGTTAATTTCACAAGATACGTGTTCCTTCACTTGCAAATTTTAACTTGGCCTTTTTTTTAGCATACCATGCTGTGATTTCACCTATGAAAATAACCAGATATTGCATTTTTGTAAAGCTATGTGTTATAAGAAGCAGGTCAGCCTGTTTTGAATATGGACAGAGCTAGAGAAGTTGTTGTTAATGTTGTTTTTGTGTGGCTGACAGTTTGTCCTGTCTGCCTGCCTATTTGAAGAGTGGAACTGCTCCGCATGGCAGCATGGATAAAAACAATGTTTTAGTGCCAAGTCTTTGGCAGGAGCGAGTAAAGGAAGATTGCTTCAGCTCTCACTGGCTGATCCGTCAACCACATCTGGTCTTAGTCTAGCAGAGAGAAAGGGGCTTTGGCTGGAGCTTCTTTATAAGTCCCCCCCCCGCCGCGCATGTCTGTTTGATCACTGTTCGTGATTTCATGTATAAATGAACAAATACATAGATTGATTTTCTCATTGACTTTAATCCATATATTCTAAATTTAGAATCTTGTCTCTACAATATCCCAAAGCTATGTCTGTATTTAAATCTTAATTTCCTTGAATTAAATCTAGTGTGATGGTAATTTTTCTTATTTCTCTTAGTTCATCAGCTTATCATCAGCTTATTTGTCTCTCTCTCTCTCTTTACCTCCCTCTGTCTCCCTCTTTCTCTTTTTTTGGTGTTTGTGACAACCACCTTATGCTGTCTTTAGAGGGTTTCTGGGGCTTACGTTGTGAAATGGTTTCCCATAGCAACATGGGAAAGGAATTTGTAGGGACATTGCAGGCATGTGTCTCGTAAATGGGAGAGAGAGAAAGAAAAAAAAGAATCTCCTTTCTGCCTTCCTGAAATATCAGGGGAAAAAATGGGTACTACATATGAATAGCATATTGTACATCAGTATGAAAGATGCATCTGTTCACAAGCTTCAGATATTGATTATAGTGACAGGAATGTGTCACAATTAAAGAGATGGTGTGATACTTTGAGCATCACTGTAAGATTTAAAGTTACAGCCAAAGAGAACAGCTGAAAGTGATTTGATAGGTGATTAGATAGTATATAATGATAAAGGTGATTATAATTAGAAAGATGTTGATTTGAGCTTGTGTAAATCTGCCCTCTTGACCTGCAGCCATTTATGGTGACTGTCACATTGTTTTTATTTCTTCAGGCGGAGTTCTAAAGAGATAGTTTGTGTGACCCCAGCTGGGGTGACCCCAGGAAGTACTCCGGTCATGGTAGACATTGATGCTGCAGAGCTAAGAAACCCTGAAGTCAAGTTCAACTACACAGAGGACCCTACCATCCTGCGCATAGAGCCAGACTGGAGCATTGCCAGGTAGGCCAAACAAATGTATACTCTTCCTCACTTTCTACTTCAGCTGGGAAATCATTTCCTTGTGTTATTGTCCTGCAGTACTTTGAAGACTAAATCAGAAATTATTTCCTTTGGTCTTAATCAGAAGAATTAGTTGGTTGAACATTTACAGACCTCTTTAGTGTTGTATTTATTCAACCTGTTAAAAAGGAATTTGTAGGGACGTTCCAGATGGGCCAGAAATCAATCATATATCATATATCATATCATATATCATATCATATATCATATCGTGTCAAGAGTGTATCTGAAACGTTACAGATCCAATATAGGCAACAAAGGCACCATGTCAAAGCTTAAAATCACTACTTTTCATCCATTGTGCTTTTTATCTTTAATTACATTAGAAAAATAAATATTTTGATCACAAAATACCTTGCCACGAAAGTTTTTAGGACAAAATATTAGGTATAGGTATGAACGTTCATATTTTTCTTAATGCCATTTTTTGGTCAATGTGGACATATTATACATCAAACGAACAGGCTGACTCTCAGGATTACGATGTTGTAAGCCCTTATACTGTAAAATCTATGACTGTCGAATTAAAATCAAAAGAAAGTTATTCCAAACAAGAGACATCTCCCTGGCAACACAGCAGCACTTGTGCATAATGGCCGCTGCCACTCACAGGTATGTTTCACACACAAACACTTCATACCAGTACCTACCTTAGGAGTCAAACGAGTCCAAACTTGTGTCTGTCCTTGAATCCATTCGTTAGTAATCCTCAATTTTGTGCAGACAGTACGTGGGAAAAACAATCGGTCAAAATAAAATACAACAATTTCAAAAAAGGATTAAAATATGATACTCTTGGAACTCCGCTTCCAAACACGTACCAGAAAGCTGAGACTCTAAGCTTTTCAATGACATGCCCCCCAGGTCTATAGACCAATCAGGCGCCAAGTTATAGAGACGCGCATTCCAGAAGGCGGGATGTAAACAGGACACTTACCTCAGAAAGGCACATTTGCTATGTAGCGAACAGAGAGGTGCATGCCATTAGTTTGTCAAGCAAGGTACAGAAATTATAAGATGATACATTGTAAGATGTTGCCATAAAATATAGATAAAACATATACTTTTGGTCCGGTGGAAATTAGTTGTGTACATGTAGGAGAGGCTGGAGAACTTTGGAGACCCCAAGAGGCCACTTGGAAAAGTCAAAAAGGCCACTTGGAGAGGCCACTGGGAAAATATTTTTCACTCTAAGCCATGTTGGTAATGAATGATAAAATGTGTTTTAAATTGTTTTAATCAGACAACAGTTCATTTTATCAATTCAAATGACTGTTTATCACTCAAATTTTTAATCTGTGTACATTTTTATTGACTCATGTTTCAAATTCACATGCATTTTTATCTACTCATTTTCATCGATTATTTTTTTGCTGATTTCACCTTTTATAGGAGTCACCCACTTATGATCTTGACAGAATTTAGCACCAAGGTCCTCTAGACCCATATTTATAAGAAAATGGATACAAGGAAAAAAAAAGTAAATTAATTCAGGAGAAGACAGTTTATAGTAAAACTTTGGACCAGTGGGTCCTGGCCATTAAGGGGTTAAGCAAGTCACAATTCTCAGGCAGTATGAGGAGGAAGAAAGATCTTTCTGAAGATTAAAAGCATTAAGTAGTGCACTGTCTTGCAAAAGCCATGAAAATAGTTGATATTTCACAAACACTGAAGAAAAATCATTGAACTGTGAAAAAATATGTGAGCATTTCAGAGCACAGGCGAAAATAGTCAGATAAAGACTTGTTAAGTTGTATGTTAGACACTTTAAAGACGTTAAAATGGTAGCTGTATAAAAGCTATATTTGAGCAGCAGATAGATATTTGAAGCTGAACCTACAGATGCAGGATGCTCCAGAAGCTGGCAGTGCATAAATCTATATATCGATCACCCCTAACCAAAGTTATTAAAGAGAAATAACACAGTCGACACATCGGTTGTTATTCACATAAAAGGACGAACAAATCATGGTGTGGCCTCCATTATCTCCTGAGCTCACTCCTGTTGAGAACCTATATAGCATCTTTAAAAGGAAGATCTGATGGCTTCTCTGACATTGCCACTCTTTGCCCAGAATGCCTGTCATTGCACTGTATAATTTTGGTGGAGCATTCATGAGATCTCTCGCGAGACCAGCATAATGCTTTATGGCACCACATCACACACCAAAAACTATGGGACTTCAGGTAGCTATAAGAAGAAGCTAGCTTGGTATTCCTGGTATAGACATCAGAGGCTGCAAAGAGACTGAAGAAAAAGAAATTGTTGGAGTAGAAGAAAAAGAGAGAGTGACCAAGCAAGAGACCGGACAAGACTTAATCTCGGACTGGTTTTTACTCGTTTACTCATTGGCAAAGCTAAGAGAGATAAAAGGATGAAAGAAAGATTCCGAGCTGGTTTTTTTCCCGACTTTTCCCAACTTATTGGCTGGCTTACTTGTCTTATGTTGGTGCACTTGCTTGATGTTTTGCTATGTTAGCAAAGATGTTGAGTCGCTCATCAGTCGACATGTTTCTTTCACTAAGAATATAAAACTAAGTTTATGCTGTTTTCCAGACCTGCTCATATTGAAAAGAACGTTTTAAATGTTTTTACTCTACATGGATCCGTTATTGAAAGAGTAAATGAGTATAAGTACCTTGGCATGTGGCTTGATATGAAACTTGATTTAAAACTCACATCAGTAAATGTACATATAAACTGAGGCAGAAGCTCGGATTCTTTTACAAACACAAATCTTGTTTCCCTATGCACAGCAGGAAAACTGTTGTAGAGGCAACTTTCCTGTCTGTTCTTGATTACGATCATCTTTAAGGCTCTTGTCAGTCAGATGCCAGAATATATTACTTCCATGCTCACTGTAAAGGATACACGTTACAAAACCCACTCAGATGGTTTTATTTCACTTGAGGTTTCCCGAGTTTTTACTGAGCTGGGTCAAACTGCCTTTAGCTATGGTGCACCAGTGAGTTGAAATAAGTTACAAGGTACTCCAAAGCTTGCCTTGCTCGTTTCTTGTATGGTTTTTAAAAATTTACTTTCTAATTATTTTAGTTCTGTTTGTAACTGTTTAGTTAAATATTTTATTTATCTATTTATTTTTATATTTATTTTTCCATTTTATGAAAAATAAAGAAAATGTGGATTTAGGTTTTTTCCTGGGGCTTTAAGACACTTTCGTTTACATTTATATTATTCTCTTAGGAGCCAGGGCGCCTTAAAAAAATGTAGTTATAGACATGTAATGTATTTCTGCAATTAATGCAATATTTCCACACAAACCAAAACAAATTGTGCAGTATTTCCGCAGTATTTTTCGTTTATTAAAATGATAATGTTGTTTATACAGCACCATTCCTCGATATCAGTGCAGATCAATGTACATCATAGTATATAAACAAAACTGAAAACCTTTTGTGAATTAAATGTGTATAGCAAAAAATGCATAAAGTTCAAACAATATCTGTTAAATAAGGATTAAAGATTAAAAGGAAAATCACCAAAGAAATCACTAAGTTTTCTAGATCAAGCACACAGGTAGGTTTAAAAGACCTACATCCTAGGAATATTTAAAGAGACAATTATCTATATCTAAGGTAGCCTAAATATATATCAAGCATTTACATGTAATATTTGAAGGATTGTTACAAGTGGACTATATTGTGCTGTTGACGTTTTGGCATATTAAAATATAAATGCTTTCTGGCCCACGAATTTGTTAAGATTTTTAATATGAACCTTTTAGTGGTTGAGTTTGACATCTGGCATATAGTATTGGAATTGCGTATTGTTCGGAATTGTATCTAAGCAGCTTGTTGAGGATTATGATTAAAAACCAGTCTTACAAAGCTTTGTATCACTCATTTTTATTGACAGAGATATCCTTTCACCTCTTCTAGCACAACTTTATCTAGAGTTGATATTACTTAAGGCATTAACGAAGGCAGCAACATATGATGTACTGTAATTGCACTTCTTTCTAAGCATAGTTTGCTTACCATTCTTATTTGTAGTGCTCTGAGACTGCAGCATGCTTATACACTTCTCTCATGACATAACTAGATCTAACACATCTTCCATTGTAAGTGCTTAACATGTTGACTAGTACATATAAAACTTATCTTAATTACATTGTTTTTTTCATTCATAAATGCTTCATCAATGTAAAAACCGAAATCACAAGTAAGGCCAATCTTTATATGCTCAGGCAGAGAGTTCAAGCAAGAAGGCAAGGTATGTGCTTTGCTTTGCTGGATGATAAACAGTTAAAAAGACTGGTTCTTGACCTCTCAGTACAATAACTAGGTATTCAGGAGATGAGAACATTCTGAAAGATCTGTACAAGTAAATGTGTCAGGAAAATATAGCTAATCCACCCCAGCTCTTCCCACTATTCATGTGAAAAAAATAATAATTCTGGATAATTCTGATTCTGGAGCTGCTCTGTTTGAATGAAGACAAGTTTCCACCATAAATATAATCTTGTTTTTGCTCACGCATGAACTCATGGACTACAACAGTCTTATTGGTCATTGGTCTGACATTTAAAATAACCATTCTGTGGTATTTCCTTTGAGCTCCCATTCTCTGGATTCAGACACTCAACATTGACATTAGCCAAATATGGCAGTGTTTTGTCTTCAAATTTACTAAGAACTTGTGGTTGGTTTGTTGTTTTTCTACCTGTTTTCATATCAGACATGTTTTAATACCTCCCGGAAGAAATTCCAGTTAATAATATAAGCCAAGTCGTTGTCACACCAGTCTCTGAATCAACAGTTTAGTGTGAAAAGTCTGCTTTCAACAAGTAGCTTGACTTTTTATGTAGTTTGAGGAGACATATTGTTGCACTTCATGTTTTTGCCATATTGCCAGCGCATGCACAACAGTCCCTTTACCACTGAGGCAATCAAGCTGCCAAGCAGAGATATAAGCGATGTTGTAGACTTTGCGATATTGTGAGAGGTAGACTTCTGTAGATCTGTAGTTGCCTATTGCTTTGTATGTACATTTGTATTTTACAAGCACCTTTGATAAGTACAGTTCTTTATTTTACCCCTCAGGTGATCAAATTAAATAAAACAAAAATCCCTTACAGCCTTTTCAAGCCTCTACACTACAAAGAGGTTAGAGTGGACAAAAAGCTACCATTATAGTAATATAAATTTTTATTATATATAAATAGCAGATGAGTGAGTGGAAGAGAAAGATATGCAGACCTAAAAGTTTCCTAAGCCTCTTTATTGAACCCTGGAGTAACGTTGTCTGTGCTTCAGATGAGATCTGCTCAAGTAGCAGCAGTCTGTGGAGAAAGCCTGTTTGGAATGCTCCAGTGCTTATTCCCTGAAGCATGCATCTGAGTAAAAAGTCTTCAACCAGACAAAGAGCGACAAGATTGACATCAGCAGTACAGGTCCAAGCACTGCTCAGGCTTTCAGGAGCACATGCAACACTACATAGCAAACCTGCGGCATTACTGAAAATACATTACCGAAATACAGTTTGTAGCATGTAGTCTAAGCAAAATTGATCAATTTTGTCTTGCGTAACTGAGCCACTCTTATGGTATATGTCCACTACACGCAAAATTGGTATGTAAAATTTTGCCCCCTTTCATTTTTAACGGGACTGTGGGATAGTGACATGCGTGATCTTAACTCGAGGATTGTCTGCACACAATGTAGGTGTGCCTACATAGTTCTGTCTGGAAGAAAGTTCTTGAATTCAACTATTTTCTGTGCAGCTAGTGCAGCCCCGTACTTCTTGAATGCATGATCTTATTCAAAGTGTTTCATCTCTGTATTTATAGCCGAATATGATTTTTAAAATAGTCTATTTGAGTGGGAATGTGTATCACTGTGTTTATTTTAGAACCAAGCTTGCACCCTGTGTTATACACAGACAAGCCCCTCAAGCGTCAAGAGAGCGATATTAACACCACTTGCAGTACAGTTACACGTTTTATATACAGCAGTCTCAGTGTGTTATATCACTGTATTATAAATGGTAATGGTTTATTGAACCTATTGATCAACTGATACATTTCATTTATTGTTGCATCTATACTCTGATTTCTAATAGTGGTGGAACTCTTCTGACCATCAGTGGTACCAATCTGGCCACCATCAAGGAACCCAAGATTCGTGCCAAGTATGGGACTGCAGAGTCCTTCCATGTGAGTATCCTGCACTGTTCTCCACTAAAGACCAACGCATACAGTCTTAAAAACAAATGTGACAAAATAGGATTTTGTAGTAGTGCCATAGAAAAAACTGTCTTACATATTTATCTTACATATCTTCCTTCTTATCTCACTCTTCAGCTTCATTAGGTGTCTTCCTCTGCCTTGTCCCAGAGGTCAGACCTTGTTTACTCTCCCCTCTTCAGGTTTCACTGCAAGGTGTCAGACTGTCTTTCTGTCTTTCACTCGTACACTGTCCGGATCCTCTTTCCCCGTTACTAAAAAAGCACTGTTAAAGAAGCATGAAATCCTCCCAAGGCAGTTTAACCTTTGAAATGTTACAGGATGATCAGCCAGGGTGGGAAAGTGCTCTTTCGGTCTCTTGTACCAGGGGGCATAGCTTAAGTTTCCCCCTCTGAAGCCTCCGCTAAATCAACATATTAGACTTTCAAATTCAAACAAAACACCCAGTGCTTCCTGGAGTGTAAGAGAATGTGGTTTGGTAAGTTTTATTATTTATACTTCTCTCCATTCCTTCTCCTCTCCCTGTCTTTCCCATGACTCCATGCTCCTCAGAACTGCACAGTCTACAATAACTCGGTCATGGTGTGTCTAGCACCATCAGTAGCTCACTCTGAGAGAGGCTTTGCAGAGACTGGCAGCGGACCAGACGAGCTCGGTTTCTACATGGATAATGTCCATGCTCTGATGGTGGTGAATGAGAGCTTCAGCTACTATCCTGATCCGGTGTTTGAGCCCCTGAGTCCAACTGGCATACTGGAGCTCAAACCTTCCTCACCTCTGATACTCAAAGTAAGACTTGCCTCTCTGTGGACTTTTTCTGAACTGTGAGGTGGGCAGCAGAAGCTTCAGCAAAAATGCAGTTATGAAGCAGTTACCAGGATGAAAGGCCTAGAAAGTCAAATACTTTTAAACGTGTGCTATAGAATAAGATTAACAAACTTGAGGTTTGATAAACCATCTTATTTGCTGTCCACTCTGTCAGTTTGCTCCAAAAATTGGCTCATATTGGTGTGCTGCATTCTGCATCCCTTTCACATCAAAGGGCTGATTTGAGATGCCACATGCCTGTGTGGTGATGAAAGCCTTTCTGTTCTCAGAATTCACTGACGGAAGTGAAGAAGAATGCCAAATAATCTTTCTTTGTTAAGTGATAATTTATTAACAAAACCTTTTTACTAATCCCTTGCCTGGTTTATTGGAGGAGAAAAACAGCCCAGCACATTAGCAAAGTGACAAGAAATAAGAAAATGCAATTTGGTGAAATAATCAGGGTTATTTTGGAGATGCATCACATTCTCCACACAATTAATGTCATGTCTTGTTTGAACTAGGGTTGGCAGTGCAAGAAATGGAAAGAGGGAGAGAGAAAGAAATATGGCTTTAAAAGACTTTGTAGCTTTAAGGAATCATTTCATACTTTATAGCATTTGAGTAGTAGTGGAAAGGAGAGTCAAACTAGCCAAACCTTTTCCTGTGACCGTAGTCCCTTTACCACAGACAGAATTGTATTGGGTGTAGTTAAGGCCAGATGCATCAAGCGTTCTGCTGCAGTTTCCAGTGTGAATTGGATCATCCTGCCCATGTGTTTTGTAGGAAACTGGCACATGAGCCTAAACACGCACTTGATGGGCCATGTGCATGAAAAAACACAATGCAAATTGATCTCCTTCATACATAAACATTTGAGAGAGAATTGTGCAAAAAATGGCCAGAGATATTGGAAGTGCAGTTAATCACATATTCTGCTTGTTTTAGTACTACTTCATCAACTAGCAAAAGCCTGTTTTGGATGGAATTTTTTCACTATATTTCCATCATTAAACTTTCATGTTCTCTTTTGTCTCGACCTTATTGTGACAGTGCCACTATAGTTCTGTACCTCTTAAACAATGCGCTTCATGAGTTTGCAGATATTGGGCAACGCTGTGTGCTGTTTGTGATTAGCTACTACCTTAGTAAATTGAACATTAATTTCAAACGCATTGTAAGTGTTTGGTGCGGTTGCATCAAGGCACATTATCGCTGCACCTGAGCATGTACATACATTTGGCTTTAAGTGAGTCGCTCATATGTCCCGATCATGCTGGATTTTAAAGTATGGTCATACTGAAAACACTGTCAGAAGGCTAAATCTACTAATTTCTACGTAGTTGAGGGCAGAAGGAATAACCAATTGCAACAGTCTTTGTAAAGTAGTTTGCGATGCAGTGAAGCCTCCCACTACACTTTTCAAATTCCAGGTCAGAGGGAAACATTCTTGTTGCGTATACAAGTGCATTAAAATCCCATAAATGTGACTCACAAACCTGAAATAGCAGAACTTAATAATAACAATAATAATAATTTTATTTATATAGCACTTTTCATACTGGTAGCAACCTAAAGTGCTTTACAGACAGATGATTTATGTTTTGCAGTAACAGACAAGACAATGACAGATCAAGATAAAAAGAAATACCAAAGAGACTTAGAATTTTAATTAAATGCCATGTTAGTTTTTGTCAGGATCCATGCTGCTGCATTTTGTAAAAGTTGTAGAGGATGTTTTGTTTTCTGAGGAAGCCCAGTAAAAAGAGCATTGAAGTAATCAATTCTTGTTGTACAAATGCATTAACAAGATTCTCTGCTTTGCACTGAGATGGAAAATGCCAAATTTTAGCAATAATTCTCAAACGATAAAAAGCTAATTTCATGACTGTGTTGACATATGGGTTAAAGACCTCAGAATCTAATATTACACCCAGGTTTTGTACTACAGGTTTGGTATGCGAAGCTTAAAGCATAATTGTTTTCAGATGAAGAACGCGTCTTAATCCTCTGCTATCATTCTTAATGGAAGAAAGTAACTGTCATTCTTTCTCTTTACTAAAGGGACGTAACCTGTTCCCAGCAGCACCAGGAAGCTCCAGACTCAATTACACAGTGCTGATCGGGGAAACTCCATGTGTGTTGACCTTGTCTGAGACTCAACTGCTATGTGAATGGCCCAATCTCACTGGCCAACATAAAGTCACCGTATGTATGCTTTTAGCTGTTCCTCAGACTTTTCACTTACTTGCTATAGAGACATGCATTGTTTCTAAGAAAAGCGACTGTGAAGACAGTGGCGTGGTCGAGCGTCGGATGCAAGATGGAGAGCCAGTCATGCCAAACCAGCGGGTTAAGTAGTCACCTGTCTGTTGTTTCTGTCAGCCTACTTATAGCCATGTCTTTTCTCAGTAGGTGGCCCAGAGAGAGAAGATAAATGGAGACACAGAAGGAAGGGGGAAAAAAAGACTCAAGACTGAAAAGTCCATGTGAACGTACCCTTAAATTTTGTAAACTGAGTCATTCGTGTTGTTGTAAAAAAAAAAAAGAAATCTCTGTCTCCACGCCCTGCTTCTCACTCCTCCCAGCCTTCTTTGGCCACCTTCAGTCTTCCGCCACTCAATTGAAGAGCTCCACAAGTGCTTCTGGGTCATCCTGGGGAGTCATTTTCGAGATGGAGCTGGAGTACCGGTTGCTGTCAACAAGCTCCGCATAAGCTTCCTGTCCACCTCTTGGCCCTTGGCCAGGGGCCTGAAGTGGGCCTGGTTTTCCCTCTAGAAATCTAGGTAAGCCTGATGTTGGGTCTGCTGCAGGACAGGGAGAGCGCTTTAACAATTTCTCTAAGCGGTGAGGACTCAATGGCGAAGTTTTCCGCACTTTCCAGGTTTTGGAACCACTGTGATGATCTTTGAGAGGCTGGGAGGAGTGAGGGATTTTTCAGTCTTGAGTCTATTTTTTTGTTTGTTTGTTTCCCCCAATTCCTTCTGCTGAGAAAATACATGGCTATAAGAAAGCTGGCAGAAACACAGGTGAATCTTCTCAGCTTCTTAGTTTAGTTCAGTGAGGCTCGCTCTCTGTCTTGCATGTGATGCTCAACCACACCCCCTCCTCCACAGTGACATTTGTGTCTTGTAGGTGTGTTCTGTCAGTAAGTTGTGTATCATTTGATATGATGGCTCTCCAAGTGTCCAGAATAGTTAGAGGGAAAAATACTTCATATTTACCCTCCTTTTTTATTTTGTGAGGCCACAAGTAAATGTCACATTACATTTTGAGGAAATGTAAAAATGTAGGTGCTTACAGTTATTCTGTTCTTTGAAATTCACTAGTTCAAAAATAGAATTATCTCTTGGTGCTTTCTTCTGTGTGTGGGATGGGTGGTGGGGTACTGTCAGGCAGGACCACAGAGAAGGGACACAGCTGTGCTCTCTCCCTGGGGAAAATGACCTACATACAGCCATGACCTAGTAGGCGACTGGCAAGGGGAATCATCTGTGGGAGTTTTCTTGTGTAAGTGTGTGTGTTGGGCATTTGTTGTATGCTCTATCAGTCATGCAGCTGCTTTGTCAATATGGCAAACCCTTATAGAATGATTCAGGGAAACTTGCCTGTGGTTTTCTTGCTCTGTCAGCCCTTCTCCTCAGTGCTTACTTGATGTGATGTTGATGTTTGTGTGTGAAAAACTAATCTAAAGACTTAACATCATGTTTCATGTTGAGAGGGTGAATGTTTACTCTTTAAAATTATTTGCCAAGTAATTAGCTTTGTCAATATCACAGGTTTAACAGTGGTATGTAAATCATCAGTAACCCATCTTTTCTGACTTGTGTATCTGTCACAGATCCGGGTGGGAGGGTTTGAGTACTCCCCAGGCTCGCTACACATTTACTCAGACAGCCTCCTCACCTTACCTGCAATCATTGGAATTGGAGGAGGAGGAGGGCTTCTCCTGCTGGTGATCATCGCTGTTCTCATCGCATATAAACGCAAGTCCCGAGACGCTGACCGCACTCTCAGACGGCTTCAGCTACAAATGGACAATTTAGAGTCCAGAGTGGCTCTAGAGTGCAAAGAAGGTATTTTGCTGTTGTCAGAGTTGTAGTGGGTTTTGCAATTTAGTGTTATTATTGCTAGAACCTTAGACAAGGGTTTAGGTTAACCGGATTTATTTGAAGATCAAGAGAGAGAAATGCTTGCACCAAGGATGCTTCAATAAATATTTATTGGCTAAATATCAAACTACATCTAGACTACTTTCAATGATAAACAACAGAAAATAAAACAAATAAAAATTAAAGTCAAAAGAAACAGACAGCTCAAGTAAAGTGATTCACAGCTAAATAGTATGAGGCAGTGTGGTTCTTGGGAAGCACCTCGAAACTTAGATGTGAAAGAGCCTCTAGAGAATTAACCTAAGTATGGACTGGAATAACTATATGGGTAGATAGATCTATTAAGAGTTTTCTTATTAAATAAATTGAAGGAGCCAGCTTACGTTGGAGTTGAGGGAACTGACTTCAGGAGGGGCTGTCTCTGGACCGGCTCAATCAAAGGCTGGAGCTCACGCGTTGGTTCATCTCCTCGCTGGTCGGAGATTGCGTCAGCATGCAGACGCGCTCTGTTTCAGTCAGCGACTGGGCAGAGGCCTCTCAGGGCTGCTTGAGGGTGAAGCCTGGGCAGCCTTTCGATGGTCAGTCTGCTCACAGATTAGTGCGTGGCTCTGGGTGCGATGCTGGGTCTCTGTGGTGTCAGAACTGCTCTAACTCCACTGACAAGGTTTAGATTGCAATCAGGCTGGTGATACTAATTTAACTAACTACATCTCTTTTGTAGCATAACAATATAAGTATAATATATAACAATAAGACTAATAAGACAAGTAGTATTGCTTACAGATTATATAAATTGATAATCAAGCAGACAATGCAACAAGTTTTCTTGGGTTCTTTTCTTTATAAGCAAATGTCCTTACAGTGGCAGTGTGTTGTGTCTCATTCTCACCACCTGGGGGTGCTGTGGCTCCATATCTAAATTGTTAATAAAATCTAAATAGGGCTAACTTTGTTATAGATTCTCATAACAACCTAGTTTTTGGGGTCTCCAGACTTCTTGGAATGAACCCTGTTGAATGGTGACAATTTGGGATTGTTCCAGGCAGGGTTTTATGGCTGCCTGGAGTGCCTTTTGAGGCAGAAGGTTGATAACCTCCAGTGGTGTCCATGCTTGGTCCCAGGGTAACTTCCTTTTAAGCTGTAAAACTTGTTAGACAACTTAATCCTGTTTTATGGCTTTTACCTCAGACTTTGTGGAGCCAAAGCTTTTAGTTTGGGTAATGTGGAGAGTTCTTGTAAATAAGAGTGACTTTGGTTCAACCAGATGGTGATGCTCACTACAGAGTTAACATTTGTCTCCTTTTTTAAGTCTGATATCTGCGAAGGTAGAAATGTGAGGTGCTAATAAAGAGTTCTGTAAGTAGTGTAATTCATAAAAATTCATAGAATGGCAATTCAAGAAAGCACATATACTCGTGCCTTATATAACTTTAAAGCAAATTTCACTTATCATTTCACATCACTTACAGTATATTGACAAAAGTATTGGGACACCTACACATTACACCTACAGGAGCTTTTAAGACATCACATTCTAAATCCATAGGCATTAAGTTTCAAGTTTATTTGTCATTTGCACAGCATGTCAGGACATTCATGCCTTGCAATGCTTGTGGTGAGGCACATGTAATCAATCTACACAAAGTAAACAAGTAAAAATAAAAATACAAAGAAAATACTGAAACTGAAACATATTAAATATATACAAAATATACAGAAAATATAGAGACAGGAGGGACCTATATAAGAAAAAAAAAATGTGGAGTTGGTCCCCCCTTTGCAGCTATAACAGCTTCCACTCTTCTGGGAAGCTTTCTATAAGATTTTGGAGTGTGTCTGTGGGAATTTTTGCCCATTCATCCAGAAGAGCGTTTGTGAGGTCAGACACTGATGTTGGACGAGAGGGCCTGGCTTGCAATCTCCGTTTTGGTTCATCCCAAATCTGTTTGATGGGGTTGAGGTCAGGGGTCTGACCACTCAAGTTCTTCCACACCAAACTCACCCAGGCATGCCATTATGGGCCTTGCTTTATGCACTGGGGCACAGTCATGCTGGAACAGAAAAGGGCGTTCCCCAAACCCACAAAGTTGGAAGCATACAATTGTCCAAAATATCTTGATATGCGGAAGCATTAAGAGTTCCCTTCACTGGAACTAAGGGGCCTTGGCCAGTCCCTGAAAAACAATGCAGTCAGGCAGGTAACGTTCTCCTAGCATTTACCAAATTCACACTCGTCCATCAGGCTGCCAGACAGAAGCGTGATTCGTGACTCCGCAGAATACGATTCCACTGCTCCAGAGTCCAGTGGCAGCATGTTTTACACCACTCCGTCGGACACTTGCCATTGTGCTTGGTAATATAAGGCTTGCATGCAGCTGCGCGGCCATGGAAACCCATGCCATGAGGCTCCCAGTGCACAGTTTTTGTGCTGATGTTAATGTCAGAGTGAGACTGGAACTCAGCAGAGTCAGCAGAGCGTTGAAGCACTCAGCGACCCCACTCTGCAACTTTACATGGTCTGCCACTTCATAGCTGAGTTGCTCTGTTTCCTAAATGCTTCCACTTTTTAATAATACCACTTACAGTTAATCATGGAATATCTAGAAGGGAAAAAATTTTGCAAACTGACTTGTTGCAAAAGTGGCGTCCTATTACAGTCGCACGCTCTAATTCAGTGAGCTCTTTAGAAAGATCCATTCCTTTATGTTTAAATTCAGTGTGAATCTGTCTGTAGCTTTTACAAGTCTTCTAATTAATAATTCTATTGCGAATTACCCTCTATATCTTTCAGAACTCGGAGCTCCACCAGTAATAGTAGTCCTGTTCACATCAACATCACAGTGTTGTAATAAAGAAAACGGGTAAAAGAAAACAGTGCTTCCCATTTTGTCCTGAAGACAAAGTTAACACCTAAAATGGAGCTTTATTTGACCCATTTCCTTAATTTGCAAGTTCTGGAATCCCCAGCATATTTTGGTGATGGCTGAATTATGAAGAGAAGGAAAATGAAATATCTCAAAAGTACCATCTCTTTTTTTGGAAGTGTGGGGCCTGTTGTATAATGCTGACATAAACATCCATGTGATAAGGTTTTGATCTGGGATATTTGGTAGGCCAGTATCTTAGGCCCACTGACCTTCCTGGTCATGACCCCATCACGTGTAAAAGTAGTCCACAATGAGATCACTAAGAAACACAGCTGCAGTTGAAGAAGTTAAAAGGGTAGGCAGTGACTTGCTGGGACCTGAACTACTTCTAAAATTCAGAATATTTAAGACTATATTTGACCTATATCTAATTCTCATATAGTGTAATAAATATTAATCCACTTGGCTTTTTTTCTCAGATGGCTTCATTTACCCAGACCTTGCCCTTTTTCAAGTACAGCATGCTGCTCTATAAATGTCCTTTAAACTCTAGCAACTACTGTAACAAGCCAGAAACTGACATGACCAATGGCTAATTAGTGAGTGATCCAGTGCCAGTTTAGATACTGGGACTGCTTAGTGGGGAGATAAATTGGCTTCAGTGCTCTGCTTTACAATAGTAAGAAAATGTTAAAGCAAATACATTTGTGCACAAGTACTATAGTAAGATGTGCATTTTATGTGCTGAACATGTTGAAGCTAGTGGGGAAATGTTTTGACCACTACAATACAAAGACCTTCAATATTTCACATTGCCTTTTTCTCCAAACATTCTCAAAAATCAGCAGTGAGACTGAATGGCAAGCCATGATGTATTTATTAAATTGTCAGACATTTCAAGAAATTGTCAGACATTTCACACTATTTGAGGAAACTGCTCCCATTGGGCTCATTTCATTATGAATAATATCTGTGTAGTACTTTCAAGAAGAAAATTCCACATACAGAGATGGATCTTACTTCTCCACTTTTAGCATCCCAGTGGACAACACAGAGGAACAACAGCTGAAGGAAATTATGCATGACATGCTCTGCTCCTTTATTAATTACCTATTTATGTAATTAATTGACTTTCTTTTCTCGTGAACTTTTTCTCCCCACCTCTTTTCCCTCCTGCTCTTTTGGAAAGCACACCAAACCTGGTTACACATTAACAGATTGACAGACACAACTTTGTTCTTGTTACCTGAATAAGCTACTCTGTTTTAGTCAATGTCAGGCACATGGTAATTATCTTAAAGGTTATCTTTTTAAACTGTGTACACAAAGCATTTGTTGCATTCCTCTAAGGTTCAGAAGAACCTAACTGTGACTTTATTCATTATGCACAGCATCTCACAGTGATCTTTCTGATTCCACATTCTTAGAAAACCAACCCAAGTTAAATTTTGCAATCATAATGAATCTTCTGTCCTCTCCTCTGTGACCTGCAGCATTTGCAGAACTCCAAACAGATATCCATGAACTGACTCAAGAGTTGGATGGAGCTGGAATACCTTTCCTGGACTATAGGACCTATGCCATGAGAGTGCTCTTCCCTGGCATTGAGGACCACCCAGTGCTCAAGGAGATGGAGGTACGGGTCAGTACATCACTGATAAAATGATAACTGACTCTGACTCCTGACACTGACAGCAGAATAAAATGCAAAATGAGCACAGGTACATAACACCCAGCTTTTACTCAGGTTTTATTTGACACAGAGCCTTGCATTTTATTTTTATTTAATGCCATCTAGTGGTTATATAATATGTTTATATTGCACATATCATCAGCATAATAATTCGAGTGAAAAATTTAATCTTTGAATATTTACATGAATTTCAGAATTTCTTAGTATTTTGTATGTCCTTCTTTTGCTTAATGACTGTGTGTGCTCAAGCTGGCATGGTGTCCCTAAGTTTGTGCAAAAGCGTCTGATTAGTAGATCGTAGACCACTGTAGTTGTGCATCATTCTGTAGTCCTCATTATGCCCATATTAGGAGCTTTTGGAAAATCACCTCGGAAAATCACACCCTGTGTTAAATAAAAGTGAGATCTGCATCTGCATGCGGCAGGATGTTTAGAAGGACCAATAGTAAATTTATGGCTGACTGCTAAAGACATGTCTCACAGCCCCCATACTGATAAATTGTGACTTTTGAAAATTCCTTTCCTTGTCTCTGACACCCATACATCTCACCTTCCCCCACAAAGAGAGACATCTTATCTAAAACAAAGGCCAAACATGGCCCACCAATCAACTCTGGGTGAGGGCACTGTTGAGACCTCACAAATCCCTGAGCAGACCCCTCGGTGTGGCCAGATACTCTTAAGTGCATTCCTTCAGTATCATAAATTTGGGGTCTGTGCAGAGGCTAGGCTCCTGAGAGCCTTGCTTTCTGGCAAATTATTCACAATGTGATCTTTAATCAAGTATCAATCAAATGCCTTTCCTTTATCAAACTGTGAAGAACACCTCTGTTACTGTTAACATGTTGCCTTGTCAGGCGTGAATTGATTAATCCCTGCCAAAGGGAATTAATACCTAACTTTCTACACTATATTCTTTTATATTCTAGTAGTTATTTTGATTCTTGAATTGTAACCCTTCCTCACTGATCTAGGTTATTGTATTGATCTTTGATCATTCACAACTATATTCATTTCACCCATTATATAATTTTTCTTTTTCTTTTGTTTGAGAAACAACCCATGTATTTCGTGATCACTGTTAATCTTATATATCTGCTTTTCTTGCAAGTCTTCTTGTAGTGTTATTAGAAGCAGGATTCTAAAGTTTGTACACTTTAATCATAGAGTTTCTCCCAACATATCTACAGAATTATTGATGATTACGTACTCACTTTTATTATGTAACCGTTCATGTAAGCATTGTTTAGAAATAGTAATGTGACGTATAACCTCGAAATTGTCTTAACAAGTTAATTCTTTGTCTAAGTAGTTCCTACTTCTTATATGACTAGAATGGTTAAGGATTCGACTTATTGTATGTAACCATATCATGGTTAACGTTAAGGGATAATGATCTGTAAGCTCCATAGTCATTTGCAATAGTCACTATGGAAACAATAATGTTTTATATGTGAAATTGCATGCTTCTTTGACTTAAGTGTAACCACACCCAGAATCTCCAAAGGATTATGTGACACTTGAGCAGCATTCAAAGAAATTGCATATTCATTATAGGTAACCTAACAAACCCACCAAAACCTTTTCCCTGCCTTAGCTCTGCCTTAGCTCCACCCCTCAAAGTTCTTTCTTTAAAGCCAGCAAGAAAGAGAAACAGGGGAGAGAACGAGAAGAAGAAACACAAAGACAGGGAAAGTTGGCCCTGAAGGGAGCGAGACAGCCAACATGTAACCTTAACGAAACTCCAAGTAGAGAAGCCCGTTCTCCTCGTTTTGCACTTTAGCTAAGTTCTGCAGATCTTAAATGTTAGTTGTTTGTCTTGTATCTTAATCCGTTTTGTTTCATTTACTCAGTAATCTTAAAGTGTTGTAACTGTAAGGTTAGACTATTGAAGAGCTGCATCTAGCTGCGTATGTTTTTCAAGTTTCGTCAATCTATTTTGAAAGTCTAATTGCCAACGATAGGCCGCTCAGAACCTAGTTTTAGAACAGAAACAGAGGCAAAACAGTGCTGGCTGAAATCCAGAGCCTGCTCCGACCACCGCCTGCCTCCATCACCAAGAAGAAGATCTGCGCTCCTCACCGGAGAGGCCGCCAAGCGTCGCCGGAAGCCTGCCTTGCCAGTGGGGTCCAGTCCAAAGCATTGACCAAGGGCTTGCACCTGTAGCGGCCTTGCCTTTGACCTGCAGACCCTTCCTAGACTGTGTGAGCAGCGGCTTCTCTTCCTCAACGTGGCACGCGCATCAACACGGCTCTGAGGTGTCCAGCAGCTTTGACCTTTGACCTGCGGACCCCGCTCCAGCCCATGCCAACAGCGGCCTCTCTTCCCCTCAATGCGACACGGGCATCACCGCAGCTCTGAGGCATCCAGGTCGTAGATTCACTCGCACTGCCCTTTGTGGCCTCAGTCGTACTGTGATTTTGCTTTTCTTTATTGACACTTAGGCCAGCTTTACACTAGTGTTAGGGTTGTTCTGCTTGCTGCTCAAAAGCCACATAATTTGGAAAATCAGCTAATCTTAGTACTCTTGTTCAGTATATTCAATATCTCTGGTTTCTTTCCATAACTAGTAATCCAATATTTAGCACCTATATACCTTTGTAATCGATTGCTTTGTGTTTATATACCTCTATCAATAAATAACCCTTTATTATAGTCATCTCTGTCACAGTGTGCATATGAAAAACTTCAATTTGGTCCCTGGACCATGGTCAAGCCCTCACTTGAATTTAATTAAAATACCTGTGTCTTACGGTAAGTGGGAAATTAGGTGCTTTTGAGGCCTTGTCCCGCTACAGTGTGATAGACTTCTTTTCATCTGCCTTCAGTCTGCACATGGAAATGTACACTGACAAAACGTCCTTAAGGAGGCTGCCAGTCTAATGATGTGAATACAGTGCACAATAGCATTAGCTTACATGTAGCAATATTCATATTTCAACTCTTTACTGACCTCGTAATTCAGAGGATCCAGTGGTATTCGAAAGAAGAGTGTTCATAGGACGAAATGTATCGGGTTCTGAACACAGAGTGCGATAGAGGATGGAGCTTAGATGCAGAGTTCCTAATATGGACATAAGAGCATGGGGCCGACTACAAAATGACGACATGACTACAGTGGTCTATATCCACCCGAGAGTCATCTGGACATGTGTTTTAATGGTTTTCCCTGAATTTGCTCCCAGGTCCCTGGCATAATTAAGTGACTGTATGTTCGGCTCATACTTTTATTGCTTTGTGTAGCTTCCCTCCCTAAAGCAACCTACAGTACTATAGGCCTTCCCAAGAGGCAGCAAATTTCATTCAGCTCAGCAAAGAAGAATCAAGACTTTTTATTAGACTGTTGTTGGAAAAACCCTTTGTTAAATAATGTGGTATGTGAGAGGCATGTTACAAAAATACAGTGGAAGTCTGTTGTTAGACTGTAAGGTACTGCTTCCAAGGTGCTGATTTTAAATGTACCTCTGCAAAACTTTGCGTTGTTCTTGGTTTGTTCTCAGGTTTTTTAGAGATTGAAGGGCTGACTAAAGTATAGGTATAGTGGGTCGTTGAAGAAGAATGTGTTGCTACATTTCACCCCTTGGTGTGGAGTTGAAAACTGCTTCCTGCTGCCTCTTTCTTTGCTGTCCTTTCCTTTTCTGTTTTTTCCTTCTTTCTCAAACACGTCACCATGAATTTGGGGAGCAGAGCTTCTGAGGGAACAAATGAAGGGAAAGGTGTATTTTTTTTTTTTTTGCTGTTGAGAATTCTGCGCCTTTAAATGTGGCATCCAGCCCCACTCTCGATTGGTATCAGCCAATCATACTGAAAGGGGATTGACGATCGATATCAGCCCCAAAAACACTGATTGGGCCATCTTTAGTTTGAATAAAAGGTTTATCGTTCCAAGTACAAGTAGACCTCAATTTGAGGGGAGATGCAAGAGAATGCCATCTTCCAGGTAAAAAAAATAATACTAAATGAAGGGAAAAAAAACAAAAATCATGGAAAACGGTTGTCTTGTTTCTACATCCCCTTTGTATTAATGTTTTTAAATGTCTGTTATAGATATTTTAATTTCTTCCAAATTTGAGACTTAGATACCAAGTTGCCAAACCCTGTCAATTTTGACAATGAAAAGAAACTGTTCTCAGTCTTACCACCACAAACTTACATGTTCTACTAGAAGAAAAGACCTCATAAACAAGACAATAACCATTCAGTGCTGCAGAAGAGATTAGCTCTTCTGAAATGTGTGGCTATAAGATTTCCCTTGGCTATTCTTGGCATTGACCAAAATCCATTTTTTTTCTTCCCCACATTTTTTTATGTACTTGTACAGATGCACCTGAACATAAAAGCTAGTTAGAATGCAGATGCTTACACCAAACAAGATCGATTTCTGAGTCACTGGCAGAGTCATGATACAACTACCATTATCTGGTTTATACGTCTTAGAACCAAGATTCAGCTACATTTATTGTCAGTGTAATTTCAACTGTGACTTGCTTTGCGCTGTGTTCTCAGGTGCAAGCAAATGTGGAGAAGGCTCTGACACTGTTCGGTCAGCTCCTGACCAAGAGGCACTTCCTACTGACATTTATCCGCACTCTGGAGGCTCAGCGCTCCTTTTCCATGCGTGACCGTGGCAACGTGGCATCCCTCGTCATGACTGCTCTGCAGGGGGAGATGGAGTATGCTACAGGAGTGCTCAAGCAACTACTCTCAGATCTTATAGACAAGAACCTGGAGAGCAAAAATCACCCCAAACTGCTGCTCCGCAGGTATAAGAATATTCCTGTATACACACAGACGCATTTGCTCAAGAATCACACCAGAGTACTACTCTGCATTTATGAGAGATTTTGCATACAGTCAAACAATATGATCACGCCGTCCCACCAACCCACACAGAGACATGTATTTAAGAGCCGTGTCAAGCTGCTGCTTAAAGTGTGAGAGAAAATACAAACACAAAACTGATGTTTTGTTCCCAATCTCTCTTGGCTTTGTGAAGTTGTTATAAAGCCTTGAATGAATATCTGAGAATACCCACTGCCAATCATTGAAAGAGACTGAAAAAAGTGCTGACACAGAGGGAGTCCAACAAAGTGTTGAAGGTGCTAAGAACTTCTGATTTACAAGCATTTTTTCTTGTATTTCCTGTTTAGCACGGAAGAGTTTTTTTGTGTTTTTATTGAATTCAGATTATACTTAGTAGAATAGAAAAGATGTCCATGGTGAACCCTCACTGTGCAAGACTCTCTGATCTGTCCTAAATGCTGCAGTTGTGCTAGAATGTTTGTGAACCCTTTAGAATTCTGGGTTTCTACATCAGTCTGATTTAAAACTGATGTGAGAATATGACTTAATAATTGCCTTTTATGCAGGGGAGTAAAGGGAGTTAGTAACTCTTGATGGGTGCATTACTGAAGAGAAGAAATGGCTTCTGCCACTCCTCAGGGAGGCAGGGAGGAAATGGAGAAGTGCAAAAGTATTTGCGCTCCTTTACCTTTACCAGCCACAGATGAATTAAGAGCATAAAAGTCTATTAATTACTGCAAGCTTTAATTACTCCCCTTCTGAGAGAACATTTAGGGGTCAGCAACAGGTTGACCTTTAATCAAAGAAGTTGCCCAATTACTGTAATACTATGGATTTAATGAAGATTGGTTTGTTAAAAAAACAGCTGTACATTTGTTCTTCACAGGACATAATATTCTACTAATTGAGATTTTGTAAGATTTTGTGTTCATGTACCATTTCTCTGTGTATATCTCTTTCTTAGGACGGAATCTGTGGCTGAGAAGATGCTTACAAATTGGTTCACCTTCCTCTTGTACAAATTCCTGAAGGTAACTGAATATACACACACAATCCCCAGTGCACAATGCTGAGCGGAAATATATGAGCACAATATGCTGAAATTTTACTGTTTCAGTGATAACTACAAGTATCTTCAAAGTCAAAATGAGCAAACTGTTTTCTTTCTCTCAGATTTCTTCAAATACACATGCACACACCACTTTCAGCACAGGAGTTAAAAGTAAGAACACTTTCAGCAGGGCTCTGACATGGTGAAAAATAAAGAGGCACAAGCTGTCAGTCAGAGGAGGTACAAGATAGAGCAGTCCCCTTTAGCTCCTTTCTTTCTGAAGCATAGCCTCTCCTCACAGCATGGCTTTCTCTACTACCTCTCAGTCATCCTCTCCTACTTCCATTGTTCTTTTATTGACAGTCCCCTCTATTTCTCCCTATATCCTGCTTTTCTCTCCGTGACTCCACTCAATGTGCATGATTGAGCAGTAGGAGGCCTCCTTCTTTTCCTCTCTCACTCTCCCTTTTCCTCTCTCTTTCTGTCTTCTATCACTCTAACTCTCTCTCTTAAGCTTCCACACTCTCTTTCTAGTCCAGTCATGCAGAGTCTTAGCGCTCACTGAAAAGACTTTAATCAACAGAAAACGCAGAGGCTACTACGTTTTTATGTCTTTAGGACTTACAATTGGGTTAGAGAACTGAAAAAAAACTATAGATTTAGAATTATGTAGATGTTGTTAAAAGAAGACAAAATTCTTGAATTGTTTAAGAGAACTTTTTATGTCAAAACCAATAAAGTGAGTGCAAGTATTCTTAAATTTCATGTTCTTTTGAAATTTATCAGCTTCACAATTCAGATTGCTTTACATTACTTCTGTCTTAGTGACAAACACTGAGCAAAGCCATTGTAGGCAAACTTGAGTGCACGATGATTATGAACAATGTAGTCTCAGAATGAGATAAGCTTGATAACTGTGACATTAACTAGCTAAGGCATATTATTTTTGTCTAAAATATTTGAGGAAAATGTGCCTAAATTGAACCTTTAGAAGACGTGTTTATCTCCAGTGACAGATAAAATCGGAATTAGTTTTCACTTGTAATTTTATGAAACAGACATAAAAATTCTAAATTCTTTTGTAAACACTGATTCTAAGATTTCAGTCCTCGTTTTCCTGACTTCAAAACCAAAACACTCAAGTGTAAACCTCTTAACTCAGAATGTGAAGTGAATAGAAATGTAATTCATGGCATAACTACGTAATATTCAGTAATGACAAATAACTATAGGCTTAGACCTCTTTCTTAGTCTGCAGGAAATATAATTAGAGAAATACTTGATTAATACACCATGTTTAATAATAGCAGCAAACAGCAATAAAGACATAATATGTGTAAACTCACTGTGTGTCCTGGCAACCAATTTAAATTGTGCAGCAGTTAATGGGTAGTAAACATCCTTTGCAAACCAAGGACAAAAGAAGAGTGGTAGGTTGACTACATGACTTAATAAACCTTGTTTGGCGAGCAGCCTCTTACTAAATGTTGTGCCCATATCTAAGCTTGATCTCAGTGTAGCATCTGAAAGTAAAATCATTAAACTTGTTATTGCAAACTATCATAACATATACTGACTCTCAGATGACTTTGTCGGTATTACACAAGCATCGTTGACAGCTCGTTGTAAGTCATCTATAACGTTTAGATACTATAGTGTTTTTATTAGCATTCAGGCCATTGCTTTTTGAACAAGGTCTGCTTAAGGCTGTACTCTGCAATAATTTATTTTTTACCTCTATATTTGAGGATATTTCTCTGCTGTCAGCCCTGTGCGTGTGTAGTGTCTGACTCATCGTTTGCTAGGTCTCTCTTTCTCTCTCTCTCTCTCTTTATCTCTCTCTCTCTCTCTCTCTAATGAAACTGAAGTGTAAAGATGTACTGAAGTGATAAGATCTCTGAAAGGCATGCTGTAAAGGGGGTCTGCAAAAGTGATGTATCACCTTGACTGGCAACTTCATCCAGTTTGAATAATTGTACTTCATCCTATTAAAAGACATGATCATGGCCTTTATAATTAGCTTATTAGTTGGGTCTGTTAGAGCAGGAAGAACACAAAAATATGCAGGACAGTGGAAAATAATAGGTCACTAAATATATATAATGTCCCTAAAAGTGTACCATTTCCCCAAAAAGGTTGGGATACTGTGGCAAATGTAAATAAAAACAGAATTCACTGACATGCAAATCAGCTAATTAGGTTAATTGGCAACAGGTCAGTAACATGACTGGATATAAAAAGAGCATCCGAGAGAGGCTGTCTTTCAGAAGTAAAGATAGGTTCACCACTCTTTGAAAGACCGCGTGGGCAAATAGGCCAACAATTCAAGAATAATATGTTTCTCAACATAAAATAGCACAAAAGAACATTTACGCTACATAATATTATTAATAGATAAACTGGAGCAATCTCTGTATGCAAGGGACAAGACAAAAGCCAGTATTGGACTGCCCTGATCTTTGGGCTGCACCACATTTAGAACAGACCTGATTCTGTTGTGGGAATCCCTGCAATTGCTCAGGAACACTTTCGAAAACCACTGTGTATGAACACAATATGTCACTGCATCTGCAAATGCAAGTTAAAGCTCTATCATGCAAGAAAGAAATCATATATAAGCAGGATCCAGAAACGCTGAGTTTATTCAAGATGGACTGAGGCAAAGTTGAAAAGTGCCCTGTGGTCCAACAAATCAAAAATTGAAATTCTTTTTGGAAATCATGGAGACCTTGAACTGTGTCCCAACTTTTTTGGAAATTTTTACCTAGACCAGTGGTTTCCACATCCACTGCTTCTCATCAAGGGCTTTGTCATTAGCACCCCAGTGGCCCACCCTGTCGTTTTAAGTACTTCCTCTGTCTTTAAGAGTGCTTTTTCCAAGCTGTGAGTAAGGTTAATGGTTGTATTGATAGGTAAGTCCTTTTGATTATTTGAATACAGTGAACATCAAGTAAACAGCTCTAGCTCTATGTACCTAAAATTTAACTCATAGTATTTCAGTGATAGTTTTTGAATGCGTTGATTGCAGGACACTGTGCCTCTCTCGAGAGGGAGGTTTAGCTGCTATGTTCCTACTTCTGGCTGTTTTCACTTTTTATTATGAAAGTAATCAATACAAATAAAGGCCTGTGAACAATTTAATGACAGGTGGATTTCTCTTTCTCTTAAAGCCTAATATGTAACATGTCTTTACTTGTAATTAGTATTCATAAAAATAGATGCATCCATCAAAAACTCTTCTTGCATGTGTTCCTGAGGTCTTTGTCTTTTTTTTTTTTTCACTGTGTGTTTTTACAGGAGTGTGCTGGGGAACCTCTGTTTATGTTGTACTGTGCTATAAAGCAGCAGATGGAGAAAGGCCCCATAGATGCCATCACAGGAGAGGCGCGCTACTCCCTTAGTGAAGACAAACTTATCAGACAGCAGATCGACTACAAGACCTTGGTCAGTGCAGTGTGTCAGTGCAGCATGACGTACATAAACAAACAGTAAATATACACTTTTACACTGACCTACCTCCCCACCCTCACCTTGAACTGTATACTGTGATCCACACATGCAAACCCTTAAATGGCCAGGGTCTGCCGGTGGGCCCAAAGTTTTACTACACACTTCTGTAACCTAAGAAAAACTCAGTTATTTTAGACACCGCTTGTATCTTTCATAAGTACTGTTCTTGGTTCACAAACTGAAACTTGAGTTCATGGCCTGCAGTGTATTTTAGAAAGCTGAATTTCTCTGAGGGCAGTCAAAGTTAGGCTAAAGTTATCCAGTTTACTGAGAATCCCTGTTTTATGAACCTCACCCTGGTTGACAACATATGCTAGATCTTTTAAATCTGCATGTGTTTCTGGTATACTTAACAAACAAAACAAGCAACTGATATATTTGTCTATCTTGATAGACCCTACACTGTGTGAACCCAGAGAATGACACTACTCCAGAGGTGACAGTGAAATGCCTGAACTGCGACACCATCACCCAGGTGAAGGAGAAACTGTTAGATGCTGTTTATAAGGGCAGTCCCTACTCTCAAAGACCCAAAGCTGGGGACATGGATCTGGGTAAGAACTGCAGAAATGTGTGAAAAGATGGATAAATTAAAGCAGCGTTTCTCAACCCAGTCTTCAGAGCCACCAGATGAGAGTCACATTTTTACAATATGCTAGCTCCCAGCACAATTGAGCCAAGCCACTGACAACACTGAATACCTGTTGCAGGTGTATGGGAGTTAAGTAAGAACAAAAATGTATACCTGCGCGTTGGCCCAGAGGACTGGGTTAAGAAACACTGAATTAAAGCATAACAAGTATGTAAAGTTTTCCAAAGAACTCTACATGTTGACTGTAGAGCTTCATTACATGAAGTGTGTCCGTGTTTGCCATGTGTTGTGTCCAGTGTCCATGTATCAGTTATCACTCCAGTCACAAAGCATTCTTTTGAGCCACAGTTATGGTGAAGGCCTACTCCTGCTGTAAACCTCATATCTGTGCTTTCAGTACTACATTAAAGAGAATATTTGAGTAAAGTTTGTTATTAGTATGGGTACTACAGAGTGAGTTTTGGACAAGGTCTGCTCAAGGTTGCAGAGCCTTTGCTCAACGTGAGCCTTTGTCCCTCAAGTACTTATGCTTCCTTGCTCTGGAGCGGTTATTCTGATGTCTGTCCAATCTGTCTAGTGTGTTGGTGTGCCAATATGTGTGTGTATACACAGTATCTCCCGACACTCATTGCCCATTTTATTCACTGCTATTTATTTTGTTCACCCCTATTAACCCAACTCTCCAGTGATTAGGACCCCCACAGAACCACTTCTGAGCAGGTATTATTATTATTATTTGGGTGGTGGACCATTCTCAGCACTGCAGTGGCAGTGACATGGTAGTGTCACGTTAGTGTGTGTTGCTTTAGTACAAGTGGATCAGAAAGCAAAGTTGCTGGAGTTTTTAAACCCTATATACACTTACTGTCCACTTAATTAAACATGAGATAATAGCTCACCTGTTGCTGCACAGTTTGTGTCAGTCATCTTCTAGTCCACCATCTGTGGTTAGTTCCTATCCACAAGACGGTGATGGCTGGATTTTTTGATTGGCGGACTGTTGTAAGCCCAGCAGTGACACTGAGTGGTTAAAAAAATCCATCAATACTGCTGTGTGATCCATTCAGCAGCACACACACCCACCCACTACCTACATGCCACTACCATGTCAGTGTCACTACAGTGTAGAGAATTATTCACCACCCAGATAATACCTGTTCTGTCCTGAACACTGATGAAAAGGGGAAAAAAAAAGCTAACAAAGAAAAGCTGTAAAAATGTATGTTCCTGTGTGTGTGTATGTGTGTGTGTGTGTGTGTGTGTGTGTGTACTGTTCCAATCTTCTTTTTCTTGTTTCAGAATGGCGGCAAGGCAGAATGGCAAGAATCATTTTGCAGGATGAGGATGTTACTACTAAAATTGATAATGACTGGAAAAGACTGAACACATTAGCACATTATCAGGTATGCTTTCCATTCAGTTACATATGTTGCTCATTAGCTCCAGTCATTCATTTTGTTGCGTTAAATGTTAATGTTAAATAATGATGACACTGTGATGCTGAATGTAGCTGCAAAGACAAAGGATGTATCAGACAAATAAGCACTCCTTGAAATTACCTTATTGATTATCTGAAATTTTCTATTTGAAGAATGACTATGGAAAACACTTGCACAATGTATACAGTGTTTTCTAATAATAAATGAAATAAAATGCAGCATTTTAATTAGGTAGCAAAACACTAAAATAATAAGAGGATTAAAGAATAGACTTGTTATAGTGTTGATGTTTTTAATGTTTGCATTAAATATATTTCAGGTAACAGACGGGTCAGTCATTGCGCTGGTACCAAAACAGAACTCAGCCTACAACATCTCCAACTCTTCCACATTCACCAAATCGCTCAGCAGATATGGTAGGTTTTTTTTCTCTTTTTTGTAATCTCTGCTTCTCTTGTCCTTTGGTAGTTGGTGGTGGGAATAAGTTACCATAAAAGAATTTTATGAGTCATATCACTTATCTTAAATATGAGATTCTTTTTGATATTCCTGGTACTTGTCTGTAAATTATTTGTTTAATATTGAAAAGAGAAGAACAATGTTTTGTCCCACAAAGGCAGAAAAGAGCAGTTATGTGGAAAGAGTGTCTTGTAATGCCATTTCTCCACATCGAGAGTGAGTACATATCATTACTATGCAATTACAAATATTGAGTCCATAGAATAGCAGCCGAATGGCGAATGTCCATTATATGACTTCAGTAAAAGCTGTGCCAGGTCTCTTGAATAATGCTCCCAGCTCTCAAACGGTGGACAGTAACTTGCGTTATCGTTGTTGTCAGGCTCCTGTTGGCATAAAAACCACTGTGGTTAACGCATCTGTAGCTGCAGGTTTATATGGCAATGATATATTCGCGGTTCATCTTAAAACATCTTAAATTTAATTTTTGACATTCAAGGTCTTAAAATGTCTGTAATTGTAGGAGGAGAAGCACTAAATTTGCACTGCGGCCAAATGAATAAGCATGTCTATTTTTGTTACATTTTTATCATTTATTTTACAGCTATTTTATATCCCACAAAAACGACCATTTCCACAATGTCTGATAGGGATTGGGAATGTGATAGTGTTTTATAGGAGATCTACCATAGTGGATCTAACTTTTCTACCTGCTGTCGTTAATTTGGCTGATCTGTAGCTCCCTAAATATGTTTGCTGAAATGACTAGTATGTGGATCTACATGACTAAAAAATCACAAATGGGAGTCAAAGAAAAGAGATCAGAAAGGAAAATTGGATTAAAGGAACTGAGGAGTAAGAAGCATTGTGGTGAGGTGTGCAGTAATAATACCACTACTGATCAACTAACTGAAATCTGCCAGTAGCTGAGGGAAATAACCATTTGTAAGCTGTGCATGGGCTTCGGGTGACTTACAACTTTAAGAAACACTAAAACCTACTTAAAGAAACACTTGACCCTCTCTCCAGTCTGTGAATGAAAGAGGAGGTAACATTAGCATGTTCAGAGCATTACCCCTCTCATTGTTGGGGAGTTTGTGTGCATCAGGCCATCAGTAAGGCTAAGTTTAGAATTATATAGTTGTTTAACATCCATCTGGAGGTGGTTAAGATACACTCCCATTTCTTTTGATTCAGTTTGAAGCGTGGCAAGCCACAGTAAAACAATGATCTCTTTATGCTCTCACAGTGTAAGTGTGTATTTGTGGCTGTGGTTGGTGTAGTACAGTGGGTAAAACCTCTGCCTTCTGTAGGCTGGGGTTCAATCCCCCCGCCTGGGCAAGCACCCTGCATTATACCAGTAAGAGTCCTCGGGGCAAGACTCCTAACACTACCTTCGCCTGCCTGTGTAAAAATGATCAGATTGTAAGTTGCTCTGGATAAGAGCGTCTGCCAAATAATAATAATGCAGCATGACATGATGTACATTCCCAAGCCCTATACCAGAGAAGATACATGAAGCCTCCTTTGCCTATACCAGAGACCCTCCCCCAGAGGGAGAAAACTGTGCTCTTTTCCCGTAAATTTTATTTTATTGCACTTAAAACGGTAAAAGGCATGTTCACATTACACAACAGCTTGTAGTATCAGAGGCAGTAACCCCGAGACGTGTCTTTAATGGTGGCTCTAACTGCTGTTAAGTTTAGCTATAGTAGCAGTACAAATGCTCCTTTGCAGTGCAAGTATCTGCAGAACCAAACGGCTCTGGTTTGTAACCATCAGTATTTCAGTAAATTATGTTAACAGTTAGCAGTAATGATTTCTTCAAAATTAACTTGTAAAACAAATTTGAACTTTGTAAAGTGCTAATGTTAATGTTGCGGTGCTACGCTCATGACCTGTTTTGCTGCTGCCGAAGAGAACTGTTGAACACTTGGAAGAGCTTTACTGACGTCAAGGATAGATATATTTTGCTTATGACTTGCGTGGTTTGATTTAATTGGCCATTCCGGGCTTTACGCTTTTACCCAGTACGAAACAACGGAGGATTACCATCTTCACTTAAATTAGAGAATCTCTTTCTATACCTACAGTATTTGTTTGTATGTTAAATGGTAAAGTACACTTCGCTTTGTAGGTGGCGATAGTACAGTTTGTGTGGCTGTACACATGTGCCATACAGTTTTATTTTCGTTAATGAGAAGACAGTTATGTTAGGTCATATGCACTGAATATTTCTGTTATTCAAATACAATAAAACTTTAAAACTTTAAACCATTTTTATTCTAATTATAAAAATGACGGTGCATGCTGCAGTTTGGTTTGTTGACTTCTGCAGTAGTGGTATTATTTTTTCCTTTTAGAGGCATTAAAAAGGTCTTAAAAGTCATTCAATTTGTACTTAAAAATGCATTTTATCCACACATACAGCCTTTGCTTTACCTGGAGAAGGGTCTGGCTGCAGACATGCACTCTCAGCCTGACATGCTCCACCAGCCTATCAATGATGTCAGTGCATGCTCTGCCATGACTTTGTTTTTGTTCGTTTTATGAGGAAAAACAGCAAACCACATACTGTTGGGCAACAAGAGTTACACTGAACATATATTAACCTTGTCGTGCTGATAATAAGGTGGTTAAATATGGAAACTTTCAAAATAAAACCACTATGATAAGACATGAATGTCAGGTTTATTTTCAAAAAAAACAAACAGGCTGAAACTTATGAAAGCCATGCTGAAGACGATTTGAACCGCTAGGAATAAAACCGGAGGGTTTTGCCTCCTAACGGGAATTGGCTTGATGGTTGCCATTAGAGACCATTAGGAAACAATCAAATGTATCTGGAATCAGTCCCAGAACACTTGATTAAATGATCAGAATCCTTTACACTGTGATATCAACCCCTCAGGAAAACACAGAATACCATTAGTCACTACTAAAAACCACCAGGAACCAACAGACACTTTTAATGGGTTCTATGACTTTTTACAACAGGGAGGTATATTAAACTTAATTCTCTAGCTGTGTTATGGACGAAGTGGTGATATCGCTAAGCAGAAGCAACCAAATTTTAACGTGCCGTTCGGCTGCTTCTGCCATTGTGGCAGAGAGTGCATGTGCTTGTGACGTCACTGGGGCTGAGAGTGCATCTGTCTGAGAGCACATGTCTGTAGCCAGACTCTATTGTTGGCCTGAGGGACTGTCAGACAGATAAGAGCAGAATGATAAATAGGCATCTTCCCAGCTGTCCTAATGATGTTTCTTACATAGACAAACACAATACACATACAACCCATTTATAATTAAATGTGTTTTCACAATTGCTCAGGCAGAGAAGAGGTTTGACTCTGACTGCATTCAGGATATTAGTACTGTGTATGGGTTGTTATTACATTGAGCTGCACATTATGTGCTATTTGTGTTACATTATTAAAAAAGCAAGACATACAAGCATGAGGGAAACGAGACTGATGGGATTAACCCTGTTTACTCAGTCCAGAACACCAAGCTGTTCTCTGTTAGCATAGTTGTGCAGTTGTGAATAAACCTACTGTCCAAGGCAGTCTGCTTCTGCGTAACTCATGCGCATCTTTTATCTTTACTTGAATACTTCCTTGGATTGCTACAACATTCAAATTTTAATCCATATTTAGGTAGGTTTTGAAGAAGTTTGGCAGCATTTATGACACAGTCACACATTTTTGAGTTCAGCTTAGTACATTGCTGATATGATGTCCCTGAACTCATTGTCATGTTCATGAAACCAATTTCAGATGACGTAGTGCCTTGCCCAAGGGCACAACAGCAAACTCTAGATATCTAGGATGCTGTAGTACTGACAGCTTTACAGTTCACAGTTTAGTCACCATTAGGAATACCCAAGTCTGGAAACAAAAAACAGTGACTCTGAGGTTACCGGCATGCTCACCAGAAGCTTTGCATCTTATATTGTGGAACTGTGGTAAAGCGTACATTAGGTGTCGCATATTTTCTCACATGTGCTAAGAAAAGAAAAAGTGGTGCCAAACAGCAGGAACTGGAATAAATAAATAAAGGATTTAGAAAAATAACATAAACGAACTACCTCACCTAATCTTACTAAACCTCTTAAAAAGCAATGTCAAGGAAATTACTGATAAATGTAACAAAAACACACTCTGGTAGCTGGTTGTTTTGATGTTTTTTGGATAGTATATGACTGTACACAAGTAATGTTGGTTTGCCAGCAAAATCTCAGGAAAACGTCTCAAGATAGCATTAGGTTTAAGTCACGTGATGTGATGTCAGGGTTAACAAGGGGCATGGCCAGTCCATATAACTAAGGCAGAAATTATATTAAAATGCTATTATAATGTACCATAGCGCTGAAGCACTGATTTAACTCAAACAGAGCTAAAATGCTGGGGTGTAGCTATGTTTACAGCTTTTGCAGTTGCCTCACATAAAGCAGTCTCTGTGTCTTTGTACAACATGCCAGTGATTTCTGTAATGTTTATGTCTACTAAACTAGACCAGTATATGTAGTGTGTAGTGTATGATAGATTTCATTTATATTTAGCTAGCTAGAAGCCATTGAAACTATTTCATCATAAATATTACAGAAAGCACTGGCATGCTGTACAAAGACACAAAGACTGCTTCATGTGAGCTGCTACAGCAGCAGTAAACAGGGCTAGCTTTTTCAACACTAGCTCACCTAACTAATGTTTGGGTAGCGTCTTTCCATAAAAATGACCGGCCCATGATAATGACCAGTGGCCATTGGTCCAGAACCCCGAAGGAGCATGGAGAAGGGAGTCAGGGCTAAAAGGCTATTGGTGTTGCTCTTTAATGCAACCAGTAGAGAACTTAACACAACTTGTTATCAGAGAAGATTGAGGGAAGATGAAGATTCACTAACCATCAATATTTTGAATATGGCAACAGAGCAAGTAGTGCAATTTAGATTGAACAA